ACGACGACGGCCGCCGCCGACGATGCCGCCGCGGCCGCCGAAGGTGTCGCCGACGCCGTCGCCGACGCCGACGCCTACGCCGCCGACGCCGACGCCGACGACGACGACGGCGGCGACGGCGCCGCCGTGGTCGATGCCGACGGCACCCGCGAGGCAGGCGCCGGCGACGAGGCCGCCGGGGCTCGGGCCCCGCAGGAGGCCGGGGCTTCGACGGTCTTTACTCGGTCCCGGCAGGGCTCCTCGATCTTGGGGGCCCCTTTAGGGGGCCACGTGCGAACCCTACCCATATCCCCAGAGATCCAACGTATTGAAAAAATCAAGACGGAAGTGTTTCTCAATGTTCAGCCTCTAGGGGCCCTCGCCGGGCCCCGGGACCGTCAAACAGCGACTCGGGATGAGAAACCGGCTCTGGGGAATGGGTCGAGACACTGGGGGGCCGCGCATCGAAAAAATCACGACATCGGATCTCTGGGTCTTTCTTTCTTTGGAGGCTTCCGTCGGCTCCCAGAGACGCCCTCGCCTCGGGGTGCCTGCCGGCCTCTGTTGTTGCCTCGCCGGGGAGTCCCGGGCGTGCCCGGGGGCGGCCTGTGGAGGCCCGAGGCGGGGCCCCACAAGGCCGACCTCCTCGCGGAGGCTGGCTTCATAGGTGGGGGGCCACGTGCGAAGCCTGCCACATGGCCCCCACGACTGCTGAGGGGGGGAGGGCGGGGTGCACTTCGCTCGGGAGCTCCCGGAGGAAGAAGTGCACCCCGCCCGCCCCCTCTCAGCCATCGTGGGGGGCAGGGGGCAGGGTTCGCACGTGGGCCCCTCACTTGGGCACGCTCAGACCGAGGAGCGCGTCACTCTCACCGCCCGCTCTGAGGAGGGGAGGGCGGGGTGCACTTCGCTCGGGAGCTCCCGAGCGAGAAGTGCACCCCACCTCCTCCTCCTCCTCCTGCTCCTCCTCCTCCTCCTCCTGCCCTCCTCCTCTTCCTCCTCTCCTCCTCCTCCTCCCTCCTCCTCCTCCTCCTCCTCCTCCCCCTCCCCCTCCTCCTCCTCCTCCTCCTCCTGCAATCGTGGGAGGTAGGGGTCTATAGGGTTCGCGTGCGGCCCCCCAATCGGACTCTCGCGAGGCCCCCTGTCGGGCCGCGGGGCCGACGGGCATCGGCGGCGAGCGAGGGGGGGACGCGAGGAGGAGAGGGCCTTCTCGGAATGGTCGAAGCCCCCCAACCTTCTGAGCATTTCTCTAAGCCTTTTCCCCCCCCAGAGAGAGAGAGAGAGAGAGAGAGAGAAACAACAAATAACAAAGAACAACAAAAACATCTTTCAGAAGGCGCGAGGGCGTCTGAGAAGCCCCGCCGCCCTCTGAGAAGGCCTGCCCCTTCTCACTTCCCTCCCTCGCTCGCCGCCGAAAGAATGGATCGGGATGTTTCAAACGCGGAACTCCACGCACCTCGGAGCACATACTTGCACGCCGTCTCGGATCGGCGTCGGGTCGAGATTCCGGCAGGGGGGGGGGACAGGCGGGGAGCGCCGTCTGCAGGCGTCGCTGCTCGTGCCGCTGCTCGTGGTCGTGCTGCTGGTCTCCGCGATGCTGCTCCGACAAGCACCTCTAGAAGATATGCCGGGGTCGCCGCCCTGCACGTCGGGGTGCTGCTCGTGGTGCTCACCGACGGGTCACTGGCGGATGTCGCACTTGTGCTGCTCTCCGTGACGCCGGTTCCGAAGGCACCTGCTGCACGACACGTGATCCTCCAGTGCCGGGGCAGCCCGGCTGCACACCGCTCTGCGCCTGCTCCCGGACAGGCGGTCCAAGAGCATGCCACGCGTGAGTGCCAGAGTCTTACTGCGACTGGTCGTCGTGGTGCTGGTCCTCCGAGTGCTACTCGTGGCGACTTGCCCAGTTGATGCCGGAGTCGCGCTGCTGCTTGCAATCGTGCCGCTTGTCCCCGAGATGCCGCTCCCAGAGCGGCCACACTTGGGCGCTGCTGGCGTGCGGCACGGCCCCGCGCCGCGTGAGCGCAGGAGTCGTGGTGCTGCTGGTCTTCAGGCGATCCACCAGTCGGCGGGGGTCGGGGGCGGGGCGGTCGAAAGGATGGGTGCGGAAGCGGGCGGGGGAGAGTGCTGGCCGCCCCGAATTCGAGAGCGTGGGCAAGACAGACAGGGCCGATAGCACGCGGCATGCCAAGGCAACAGTGGGATGAGCCAGGGGTGGACAGGAGAGGAGTGGGGAGGGGACTGCCCGAACAGGCGCGTGAAATTCCGCACGGGAGGCTGCCCAGGTTATCTTCGCCTGGGCATGCCCACACAGGACAGTGCGTTAGCGAATCGCGCGACGCAATCGTCCCCGAGAGGACACGGCCAGGCCACGCCGAACCAGGTGCTAGACGGCAGGTGGAGGGAGGAGGCGGAGGAGGGCAGCTGTGGGCGGGGGAAGGCGGGTCAGCCGCCCTGAATTCGAGCGAGTCCTGCTGATTGCTATCCGGACCACGCGACGCGGCAGCGTCAAAGGAAGGAATGCCATTCACAGGACAGGCCAGTCCAGACGCCGACGGGGGGAGTGAGGAGTGGTGAACACGAAGGGGCGAAAGGGAGGCGAGAGGGGAAAGGCCTCTGGAATTAACGAAGAGACGCATCAGCGTAGCCGGCTCAGTGCCGACGGCGTTGGCGGCCAATTGGGCCGATCTCGGTGCAGTACCTGGAGGTGCCAGGCGCCACGCGACCCGGCTTGCAGACACCGTCCTTGACCGCGTCCCCGTTCTCGAGAGAGGTGCCGCCGGGGACGGCGCGACGCACGTGCCAGCGAGGAGCTGGCCCATGCTCGCCCCCCGCACGATCGCGAGCGCGGACTCCTTGGGCGCCGGGTGCCCTCCCGTGGGCCGTGCTCGGCACGCTGGCGGCGCGGTCCCCCACCTCCTTCTGGCCGTGGGAGCGCATGCCCTCGGTGGCAGTGGGCACGGCCCTGCTCATCTGTTTTTTAAGTCGGGCGTGTCCCCCTACAGGGGGATTTTGGGCGAAAAATTTGAAGTGCTCAGCTAATACCCCCCAAATGGGCAAACCTAGTCAAAAAGTCGTCCCCAAACTATGTTTTCACTGTTTTTGAAAACTCCTCCTGTAGAGGGACAGGCCCGACTCAAACCTTGTCGAGCGCATCCTTCCGCGGTCCGGTGCATTTGACGGCCTGCTGCATGCTGGCGTGGGCAGTGTCGCCGAGCACGTCACCCGCCTCGCACATGCTCGCGAGGGCCAGGCGCGCGGTGTCGATCCGCGTGAGGAGGCCCTTGAGCTCGACGCTGCCCGTCACTCCCTGGGTGGCCAGGGTCAGCGTGTGAATGAGCTTCTCGCCGTCGGACTTGGTCCCCGCCCTCCCAGCGGCTCATGAGCTTGTCTCCCGTCGGTCCGCAGCTCTTGAACTCCTCGATAGTCTCGCTGATGAGTGCGGCGAACGTGTCCAAGAGCTGGTGGTCGTCATAGTCGGCGCGGGTAATCTTGAGGGTCTCCACCGTGTGCTTGATCGCCCCGACCGTGTGGCCGGAGGCGCTGACGGCCTTCGAGCGCGAGGTGTTGAGGCACTCTCGATCCACAGGGCGGGCGGGCGTGCTCGCGTCGCTGGAGCAGTTCTTGGTGATCTCCTCCGGCTCCTCCCTTGTCATGTCGAGAACCTGCGCCAGCTCGTCGTCGGACAGGGTGCCGATGTACGCCCGCTGCTCCCTGGCCTTCTTCTGAGGGGCAACGATAGGGGGTGACTGGCATAGGGAGTATGCATCGACCGGGCATCGGCGATACATCGCCGATAGATCAGCGATACGCCCCCGATAGTGAATCTGCACCTTCCTTTGCAGGTTGGGGCTATCGGGCCCCTATCGGCGACCAATGGACGATTGGGGGTCGATGCGCCCCCCCTATGCCTATCCCCCCATATCGCTGCCCCCGATCTTCGCCGCCGCCTCGGCCGCCTCAACCTCGTCGCCGGTGCTGATCGACGCCCCCACTGGCGCGGCGGCGTCCCCCGCGCCGCACACCGCGACGGCCAGCAGCGCGACGAGAGGCAGGCGCCCGCGCTGAGCGCCCGGCGTCATGGCCGCGCGGCGACAAGAAGCGGGCCCGGGCCCCTCCTCCTCCTCCTCCTCCTTCTCCTCCTCCTCCTCCTCCTCCTCCTCCTCCTCGCCTCCTCCTCCTCCTCCTCCTCCTCCTCCTCCTGCCCCCCCTCCTCCTCCCCCTTTTCCTACGGGGGAGTGCGAGCCTGGACCTCCTCGCCCAGCACCAGCCGGAGCTCCCTGCAGGCGCCCGTCAGCGCCTGGCCGTCGCTCACGGGGGAAGGGAGGGAGTTGGTCTCTCCCTCCTAAGGGACCTCCTCCTCCTCCTCCTCGTCCTCGTCCTCGTCCTCGTCCTCCTCCTCCTCCTCCTCCTCCTCCTCCTCCTGCTGCTCCCCCTCCCCCTCCCCCTTCTCCCCCTCCCCCTCCCCCTCCTCCTCCTCCTCCTTCTCCTCCTCCTCCTTGCACCCATCGTCCTTCCTTTTCATTTTCCTCCTCGTCCTCGTTGTCGTGGTCGTCGTGGTCGTCGTAGTCGTCGTGGTCGTCGTCGTCCTTCTCCTCCTCATTTTCCTCCTCCTCCTCCTCCTCATTCCCTCGCCCCCACGCGGGCCCCAGGGATGACGGGGGGGACTCCTGGCACAGGCGCGGAAGGAGCCCAGCGGCACCGAAGGAAGGGGTCGGGGGGCGCAGAGGCGAGGTGGAGGTACACGACGGGCCCTGGCCAGGGGAGCGGTGCTCCTCATCCCCAAGGGGGGACCCATCGCATCGACGATCTCTCGGGAAGGGTGTCGAAGCCGATGGTCACGCAAAGGGGCAGGGACCACCACTCCCCCCGGTGTGGCCGGTCTGGGTACCCGCGCAGGGCTTCCTCCCTTCCGCCGTCCGCTCCTCCCCCCTTCCCCCCGTCCCCCTTCAGGGCCCCACGAACGGAGGCTCCGGCAAGCCAGGACGCCGGCGCGGCCCAGAGACCTGCAGCAACCCGCCGCTCCGAAGGCGCCTCCTCCCTCCTTCGTGTGCTCCCGGCGGATGTGGCACGGCTTCGGGCTGCGCACGGACGCCGCCCAGCCACAACTGGGGGAGCTGTGGTCCTTACCCCCCTGGGGGAAACCATCGCGTCGACGACCTCTCGAGAGGGGTGCCGAAATCGAGGGGCCCCCCAGGGGGGGGGGGTAAAGACCACGGCTCCCCCAGCTGCGGCTGGCCTGAGACGGCCCCCCCCCCCTCTCTCCAGGCAGTCCCCGCGGGCCTCGGCCCTCCCGCTCCGCTCGGGGCGGCCCCCAGCGCCCCAGCCATGGGGCGCGGAGCGCCGCAGGGAGAGGAGAATGAGGAGGAGGAAGGAGGAGGAGGAGGAATGATGATGATGATGATGATGATGATGATGATGATGATGATGAGGAGGAGGAGGAGGAGGAGGGAGAGAGGGAGGAGGAAGAGGAGGAGGAGGAGGAGGAGGCGCTGCCTGAGCGCCGCCCGCAGCCTTACCGGCTGGATCTGCCACGCTCGCCGCATCCTGGAGCCCTGCCTCTCCCCCATCCGCCGCCCTCGCCGCCGGGGCCCGCCGCGGCCGCGGCCTCCCCCTCCCCGCGGAGACGACGGGGGGGAATTCCCCCCCGTCGTCTCCGCGGGAGGGGCTTAAACCACCGGCCTCCCCTTCCCCTCGGAGACGACGGGGGGAATTCCCCCCCTCGCGCCGGTTGAAAAGGTGTCTTAAGACACCTCTTCAACTGGCGCGAGGGGGGGCTCCGCAGCACGGAGGAGGGGACGCGGCGGCGGGTCCGTCTCGCAGAAGGGCTTGGGACGCCTCTGGGCCCTCTTTGGAGGCTGGTGGGGGTCTCTCTCTCTCTCTCTCTCGTCTCCGCGGGCTGCCTTCCCCCCCTCCCCTGAACTTCTCCACAAAACGCCCCCCCCCTAAACTTCTCCTACCTCAGCATCATCATCATCATCATCATCATCATCATCATCATCATCATCATCATCATCATCATCATCATCATCATCATCATCATCAGCGTTATCACCATCATCATCATGACCACCAGCATCTGCATCAGCATCTTCATCACCATCAGTATGATCATCATCATCATCATCATCATCATCATCATCATCATAGACACCAACAGCGGAGTGAGGGAGCCGAACGGTCATTCATTATCCCTGGGTGAGTGGCTGAAGTGAGAATACGTGGTGATGATTATGCCTGTTGCGTTGTTATTGCTGTTGTTGTTGCTGTTGCTGTTGTTGTTGGTGTTATTATGGTCGTTGTTGTTGTTGTTGTTGATGTCGTTGTCGTTGTCGTTGTCGTTGTCGTTGTCGTTGTCGTTGTTGTTGTTGTTGTTGTTGTTGTTGTTGTTGTTGTTGTTGTTGTTTGTTGTCGTCGACCCCCCCGCGACCCCCCCGCGACCCACCCCGCGACCCAACCAACCCGCGACCCACCCCGCGACCCATCCGCAACCCACCCGCGACCCACCCGCGACCCACCCCGCGACCCACCCGCGACCCACCCCGCGATCCATCCGCGACCCACCCGCGACTCACCCGTGACCCACTTGCGACCCACCTACTACCCACCCCGCGACCCACCCGCGACCCATCCGCGACCCACCGGCGGCCGATCCACATTGATTTGAAGAGAAAGTCGGCGCCTGCGGCGAACTCATTGTATAAGTTGTGAAACCTTGGCACCTACGGCGGGCTTCTGCAGAGTCTCGCCGACTGCCGACGTCCCCACCGCCCCCTCACTCTTATCCGCATCTGCGGGGTGCTACGTAATGTAATCGCCGCGCGCTCGCTCTACTTGAAGAACTGACTCCTGCAATCCAGGCCTGGCGGCCTTGCGACGGACCCCAAGGCCACCAGTGAACAGATAAGTCGGCCTCAGAGGCGGCCCCATCCTGTGAGCAGCGGGAGCGTGGCTTCAGGGAGCGAGCTCGAGAGAAACAGGCGGCCAAAGCCGCTCGAAGAGTCGGGGTTTGGACGCCCGAGCTTGGTATGGACGTACGGACGGAAGAATACGCACAATGCCCAAGAACGAATGCTGTCCAAAATCAACAGCGGCCGATGTTGGGCAGGCGGCCGTGTATATCGAACGGACAACGTCCACGGCGACGCCGCCAACGAACTCTGTTTCAAAAAGGACAGGAAGTGCTGTCGGTCTTCGCACAATTGTTTACAAGTCTCCTCGATGGGGTCGGAATACACGGGGTCGGAGAACCGCGCCGCCTCGCCATGCATCGGCGATGCACCGGCGACGTCGTCGGCGTGGAAAAACTCGGTCTCCACATCGAGCCGAATCGCCGATGCATCGGCAATGCGGCGCGATCCCCCGACCCCATCTACTCCGACCCTGTTTCGGACGCCGAAACTCTCTCCGTACCTATTTCAATCGTGCCGAATCGAACCCGAGTCGAAACCGAGCCGAACTGGACTCGAACAGATCGGGTAGGTGGTGCCCAAGAAATTCCAGAAACAAAAACTCGGCGGTGGACAAACCTCCCTTCAGTGAACCATCCTTTAGTGAAAACGGCATGGGACCGAAGCCGACGGACATGGACCCGCAGAAATGACGGCCGCGACGCCCCCTCACGAACCTAACACGGCCAGTTCGCTCATCGACGCGCCAAGGAAAGAGGCCTGTCCAACCCCGAGAGACAGAGCCCTACACGTGCCAATGTCTGTTCATGCCCACTTCGACCGTGTACAGACAGATTCTCTTCCGGAGGCGCGCGGGCGGCCCAGGGCAATGTGCACGCCCCGGGCAGCCCGCGCGAGAAGCAGAGGGCGGGGAATAGAGCCCCGTAAGCTTCGCATAACCTCCGCCGCTTGACAGATACATTCGGTGCCGCCGCTGGGTGCTTCCGTTCCGTTCCTCCTCCTCCTCCTCTTCTTCCTCCTCCTCATGTTCCCCCTCCTTTTCCTCCTCCTCCTCCTTCTCCTCCTGCTGCCCGTCCTCCTCCTCCTCCTTTTCCTCCTCCTCCCAGTCCTCCTCCCCCTCCGCCGCCAATGATTTGCCCGAGGAACGGGATCCCTGGAAAATGTGGGATACGAAAAGGATGCTATGTTGGTCGAATTACTGTTCTGGACAGGTCGTACCGACATGGCTGTAAAACCCGGTAAGCTGATATGTATGGGGTGTGTGAGCACGGCGGGAGAGGAGGACGATGCGGCGACGACCAGAAGTGCCCCTTTGTCGCTAACGCGAGGTTGGCCCGCGGACTGGGAATCATGCTCTGGTTGGCCAGTGTGCAGGGCCCCGAGATGATCTGGCGGCTTTCGCTAGTGCTACGACGAGTTCTTGTGCCGCGAGCAAGGTCTGCGTCAGAGCATTGTCAAATCTGCACATCAGACATGTCACCCCTGCCCACAAAACAATGATGTAAGATGTGATATTCTTAAGATAGCCTTTCAATCTGAACAATACCATGTCGTGCTGCTCTGCCCGCGTGGAAACGTAACTACCTACGTGACGCTGCCCTCAGAAGGACGCTCCGAGCCACCCTGCCTCCGCGCAGGATGTCCATCAGCACTTTCGCCGCGATCGGTTGTGAGACTCCTGGCGGCCCCGGGGTATTCGGGGTGTCGATCGTTGATTCCGCGGGCAGCCTGGGGCCGCGATTTCCATATCTGGTGGACCAGCGGGGGCAGAAATGTTAAATGCTCCCGCCAGTTTGGCTCAAGCCATTTTGGCTCAAGGAAGCACACCAGCCTCAAGGGAGCACACCATTTCTACCTATACATTCCCATACTCCTACCTTCACGACGCCGCCATGCCCGAGACACATGTCATTTCTTCTCCGCAGCAGGAGGTTGGATCGGCGTCGGATGCATTCGCAGCGTCGTCGTCTCGAGCACCAGGCACACCTGTGGGCAAGTTGTTGAATAACCTGTTCCTGAAGAAACCGCGCATCAAGTACTCGGTTACAGATTCTCCATTCTCACCTCTTCTCCCGAAGGAGGGTTACCAGAAGATGGAGGACGACCAGGAGGATGAAGAGGAACACATTCCAGGACCAGTCGAACAACTGATCTTCGATGGAGTGGAGGACGACACCCAGCAGGAGGGAAAGGAGCAGGTCACCATGAAGGGTATCGCGGGCCTCCTCCGCAAGAAAATGGCTCCAATGACTAAACCAATACAGGAACTCCAGCACAGCTTCGGCAACCTCGACTTGCGGCTGACCAGCCTCACGAACGCGGTGGAGCTGCGCCTCAATTCTGTCGAGAAGCGCCTTGACGTAACCGAGGTCCGAATCGAAAAGTTGGA